TATTTCTGAGGCTGCTCTTGCTTTGCGGAATGGGGGGGTGAACGGGCTCTAACCCAGGCAGGGTGCTCTGCATCTACCTCCCTAGGTTCTGGGGAGCCCCAAGAGCCCGTGTGTACTGGCCACAGTGGGGCCATGCTGCCCCATGCATCACCTTCCCCATCCCAGCCCCTGCTCAGGAGACAGGATGCAGTGACTGTGAGGGCTTGGACCTCCGCATTTGGCAGGAGGGACTCCCAGGGATGCCCATGCCAGAGCTGCATGCTGCTGGCACAGCCCAGGTGGTCTATATCGAAACCACGACAGCCCACAGGACCAAACCCCTCCAAGCACAGCCCAGGCCTTTTAGGCTCTCGCACATCGCCCAGCCTCAAAGCAAAGTGAGGGCATTTGTTGTGACCTCTTCAGACTGGGCAGGCACCAGGAGACAAGCTGCTGCCCAGACCAAGCCCTGCGTGGGACTGGGGAGGCAAACGGCCACCTCTCAGCTGTCTTTCCCAAGAAGCATAAACCCTGGTCAGCCACCACGATCAGAAAGCCCAGAGCTTTGGGGGAACCTGCTCCAGCCTGCACAGGAGCTGCTCCATGCTGCCACCAGGACATGAGGACACTCAGGTCGATGCTGGCTCCCAGCCCCTTCCTTCAGTGCCACAGCAGCTACAATTTCCAACTGGGCAGCGATGCAACCGAGTCAGTGAGCTGGAGAATGCACCTCCATCCCACCACCCTCATCCCCCAAAGCCAGCCACAGCATCCAAGTGCCAGAGTTTATTGGCAAAGTGCAGAGATCCAGGGGGGTAAAGGGGTCTGAGTGAGGAGGCAGCAGCACCTGGGGATGCCCATGTGCTGGGGTCAGGCAGGGAACAGGGTGGTGGGACAGGCTGGAGGTCCCCACGGTCATCAGGGCCCCACGCAGGTGTAGGTGGTGTTTCCCCAGAGGAAGGCAGGGGGGGAGGACCGGAGCCACTGCAGGGTGGCTGCACTCTGCTCGCAGACCCATCCGAGGGGTTCCCCGCACAGACCACCTGACAGCCTCAAGCCTGACACCCTGCCGCAGGCCAGGAAGGAGCTGGTGGAGCGCTGGATTGGGAAGAGCCTGCAGGGAGAGAGCGGGCTGAGATGGGATGGGCAGGAAGGGCTGGGGTCATCCCGTCAGCAGCATCTCCAGCCAGGGAGCAGAGGCTGCACAGAGATGCCGTGGGGGCAAAGCTCCCCCTCCCCGTGGAGCACTGTCCCCTGCCACCCTCCTCCCAATTAGCACACATGCTCTGATCCGCCCCCCCCCATCCCTGCCTGTTTGTCATGCAGCCCCGTGATGCACGCAGCACGCCCAGGTCCAGCCTGGCAGGGCTCAGCACCAGCTGCACCAAGAAAAGCCCAGGAACCTGCTTTCGAGGGACTCCCCCAGCCCCTCACCCAGGCAGGGTGTGGGCACCAGCGTCAGGCCCCTGCAATCTTCCCTTCCCTAAAATGCCCCAGCGCAGCCTTGGGAAGACGAGAGGTGGCCAAAATGCAGACCACACCCCTGTATGCCAGTAGGCTGCCTGTCCCCCCGTCACCTCCCTGAGCCCTGGCTGGGGACAAGCTGACAGCCTCACCCCTTCAGCGTGGTGCCATCCAGCCACTTCCAGTCAGACCTGAAGCCATCCCGCTTCAGCCCCACGTGGAAGACCTCCATGTTGGCTGAGCGCACCAGGAAAGCCTAGCGCAGGAGAGGACCCACATGAGCTCCCTGGGGGGACACCCACCCCCAGCCACACGATTAGTGACAGGAGCCGCGCAGTACAGGGACAGCATCGCCAGCTCCCTGCCTGGAGGCTCAGCTGGCCTTTGGGCACATGGGCCAGAGCCAGGGAGCTGAGACGATGCTGGTGATAGCTGGGTGACTGCTGAGGGACCTTAAAGTGGTCGCCAATGCAGCCCGATGCCCGCAGGGAGCTGGACAGGCCAGGCTGGGTGCACTCACCAGGGTGGTGTTGGCTCGGACAGTGACCAGCTGTGCCCCTCTGGAGCAGCAGTCCTCTCTGCTCTGCTCCCAGCTCTTTTTGGCAGAGGAGAAGTAGTAGCACTGCCCCGCATCCCAGAGCCAGCCGACCGGACAGAACTGGCATCGCTCTGCAAAACAGAAACTCAGCCTGCAGGAGCAGCCGGGACAGGGCAGCTGGCAGGGGCTGCCACCAGCCCCCAGCCCAGGGGACAGAAAGGTGACAAGGGGCAGCCAGGGTGCCAAACAACCCAGTGTACTCCTATGGCTGCCCCACGGAGAGGACCCTCCACTTGCCCTTACACCAGAGTCCAGCTCCCACATCCCAGCACCAGCTCCCAGGGAGCCCCAGGGGGAGATGGGTTGGTTACATGAAGGTGCTGGTATCAGGCAAGTGAGGGGAGCTCCAGGGTTGGGACTGTGATAGAAACATCATTTGCGAAGCACTGAGAACGCTGTCAAGATTTCAGCTTCACCAGAGACTTGTCAAAAGAGAGCACCCGATGCTGTCCGGCGTACAGATGCTCGTGGCAGCCCTGAGCCTGGTGCTGGTGGGGGGCCCAGGTGACGCCGAGCTTTTCTTCCGAACTGGTCCCAGCAGTGCAGCCTGTTCGGCAGCACTGGGACAGCTCTCCATGCCGTGAGCCAGGGGACAGGCAGCAAGGGTGAAGGAAGACTAGGAGGGGGCACGTTCTGGAGCAGAGACAGATCCTACCTCTTGAAAGGGGCAGACAAGCCCTCTCCAAACCTTGCCCAGGAGCCCATTGGGTTCTCTTACCTCGCAGTGTCTGTCGCCCATAGCTGGGGCTCTCCTCCATGCTCCAGGGACCATTGGTGCAGCTTGCCTGTTGTCCTAAATCTATAGAAGAGCACAGGATTGACCCTGGCAACAGTGGGCTCCTGCTCCCAGCAGCACCCAGTGCCCGCTCCCACGGGACAGCCCCACAGCTGCGGCTGAGGGCATCCCCGCCTTGAGGTGACCAGCCAGCCAAGCCTGCCAAGGTCCTTGCAGCTTTTGCTGTGCTTGGGAGCCCATCACATGACTGTGTGGAAAGGGGAAAGTGCTTTTGCCTTTCGGTTTCAGCGTCACCCCTCCCCCTCCTGTCTTCATTTCATTGCCATGTGATGGAGTGGGATGCCCCAGCACCTTCCCTGAGCCCACACTGTCCCCCCGCCTTCCTCTTCCAGCCAGGCAGGTGAGGTCTTGCCTCACCAATTTTCCTACTTGCCCCAGAACCCGCAACATCCTTGGCCCCAAGCAGGAGGTCCCAGCTCCATGGGCAAGCTGCAGCTCTGTCTGTTGGTACACGGGCCCCGTGGTGCTAACCCTGACCCCAGGACCCCAGCCAAAGAGTTCTGGGTGCCAGTGGATACTCACAGTGGAAGCTCAAGCTGACGAG